GGGGGGGGGGGACCTACGATTCCACGGCCAACAGGAAAACGACCTCAGACAGATAAAATAAAAATAAAGCAAAAAATGAGATTGTAAGTGCTGCGCTCTCGGAGCTAGATTACCTCTCTGGTGTGTCCATGCTTCTCTGTTTTTTTTAGTTCAAGGAGACTTCAGTCTAGACGGAGAAGCCAGCCAGACCGCATCTGCATGTCTGAGCCCAGCACACACGGGCATCAGCAGTGGAGGTGCAGGCGTTCCGTCTGCCAGCTGTCTGCTGCACTCGCTGCTGGAGCTCGTGACCCCATACCCGCTCAGAGTGACCCAACAGCGCCTGCTCGGCAGGGGATACACCGGCGACTCAAAACACGGCTCATGCGGGCTTGTTTTTCAGGGGAAATACACACAAAGAAACCCAGTTAGCGTCCCAGGAACCACAGAATACCTCTACGCGACTGAAAAATGACGACTGGGGGTAGGGCGGTCTTGTGAATGTTGCCGGTTGCCAGTCGGACCTATTTCGCGGGCGCACCGTAAGCTTCCGTCCAACGCATTTAGCGTTTATCCTGCGTTATCGAACAGGCAAAAAAGACGTACAAAGTTATAAAGTTGACTCTCTCCAGTTGACAGCAGATCCCCGACCTCAAACACCATGATTTTACTGACAATGGTTGCTCGTGTGGCGGACGGACTTCCGCTCGCTGCGTCTGTACAGGAGGATGAACAGGTATGAATGAAAGCTGAGCCCCTCGTATGGAGATACCTGCACATCAAACTGTTCTTTAAACAATAATAGTGTGCTTTTTTTTTACACGCTTGGTGCTCTAGAAGATAATGTCGCGATTTTATTTCAGCTTTAGCTAAAGTTGTAATTATTGAGGAACACTGAGTGTATCGTATTTTATACAAACAACTGAAAGTTGAGTTGAACATAAGAGCAGTTTGTTCTGGTCCCAGTCGACAGAAAAATGTCTACAAAGTGCTAATGTCATGTCTTTTTAAATTTAACTGTGAAACCTGTTAGTTTAGATTTTAATGTGGTGGACTATTCTGTATGCAACTGTGGGGATCTGAACTTTAAAGTGATACTTTATTTAATAGCTGTATTTAAAAACCGAACATCAAATGCAGGGGAAAAAAGTGATTTAAGCAACTTTTAACGTGGCGTGGTTGTGTCAGACGGGGTGGTCTGAGGATTTTAAAAACCTGCTGATCTACTGAGATTTCTCCACACAACTATCTCTAGGTTTTAAAACAAGAAATTAAAAGAGAAACATAAAATATCCAGTGACTGTTAGAATGTCCAGACTGGTTCAAGCTGACGGTAAGGCAACAGTATAATTAATACAATCATGTTACACAGAAGAGCATCCCTGAACGTGCAACACATCAAACTTTGAAGCAAACAGGTTACAGCAGCAGAAGACCGCACTGGGTACCACTCCTGTCAGCCAAAAACAGCAAACCAAAGCAACAATATAAGATGGCATGGATTACGCAGTATAAAGTGCACAAATGCAAACTCTTTCTGTCTTTAGCGTGCTTTACTTAAGGAGAAAACAAAATCTCCACTCTATGGCAATACACAACTTATGAACATTGGTGAAGCTGCAATACTGTGAACAAACATTCAGCAAGTTGTTGAATGTTTGGACGTGAGCATGTGTGAACATTGACTACAGCGACAGAACAGGACAATAACTAAATTCCTACATTCTCATGGATCCACATAAGTAATAGTGAGGAAAGGGACAAGGTCCAAACAGTAATTGAATATCCCTGAACTGTGAACCTGAATTGAGTCCCCTGATTACTGCAGAGAGCAGGCTGCATCACCAGTGGTTGTTAGGTTTAATTCTCTGTATCCAGCTACAGGCTTTCCTGTGGATGTGATTCTGTAATGAAACTACAGATGAATGAATGACCTTTTGAACATATTGTTTACACTGTGTGGGTAATATGCAATGACCAAACGACTAAAGTAATTAAATATGAATAAGAATGAGCTTAAGTCTGTTTTTATCTGTCTTTGTCAGTCAGAAAGAGATCTCCAGCAGTACCAGAGCCAGGCCAAGCAGCTGTGCCGTAAACTGGACGCTCAGAGTCCAGAACGCTGCACCCTCGAGGCTGGGGACATGAACTTTCAGTAAGATCACTCAGCATAGAACATTTTGTAGATAATTTTGGTGAGCTTTAACTTGAATCACAAAGGTCATAAAATCATTAATGGTTTGGCCTCATTTTCAGCCTTTTAATATCCCAGGGTGTGTGCTACCTGTCCCTCTGCGAGGCTTCTTTTCCCAGAAAGATGGCTTTTGCATACCTCGAAGACCTCAGCAATGAGTTTTATGACCAGTATGGAAGGAGAATACCCACAGTAACCAGGCCCTACTCTTTCATAGAGTTTGGTGAGACTGGTGTTGAAAATCCTTTAATACAGTACATTTGAAAAGTATTCACAGCTCTTTACTTGTTCCACATTTTTTCATGTTACAGCCTTATTCCAGAATAGATTAACTTTATTTTTCACCCCAGAATTCTTTACACAATACCCCACAATGGCAAAGTGAAAAAAGTCTGCAACAGAAATTTAAAGCAGCGACAATCTGTAGCGATGGTATTGGCCAGGTGATGCTTAGACATGATGCTTGGCATTCAGGCCAAAGAGTTCAATGTTTGTTTCACCAAACCAGAGAATTATGTTTCTCAAGGTTTGAAAGTCCTTCAGGTGCATTTTGGCAAACTCCAGGTGGGCTGTCATGTGCCTTTTACTGAGTGGCTTCCCTCTGGTCACTCTACCAATCTGTCCTGATTTCTGGAGTGCTGCAGAAATGGTTGTCCTTCTGGAAGATTCCCCCCTCCCCACAGAGCAATGCTGGAGCTTTGTCTATCTGTCTGTCTGTTCTAGACTGACTACCAGGTTCTCGGCCACCTCCCTGATTAAGCCCTTTCTACTCCAGACGCTCAGCTCTAGGGAAAGACCTGGTGGTTTCAAACTTGTCCCATTTACAAATGATGGAAGCCACTGTGCTCACTGGGACCTTCAGTGCTGCAGACATTTTTCTGCACCCTTCACCAGATCTGTACCTCGACACGATCCTGTCTTGGAGGTCTACAGACAACTCCTTGGAGTTGGGCATGGCTTGGTTTTTGTTCTTGCATGCACTGTCAAGTGTGGGACCTTATATAGAAAGATGTGTGCTTTTCCAAATCATATCCAATGACCTGACTTCAAGGTGTACAAACATCTAACAGGTGGTCAGTGGAAACAGGATGCGCCTGAGCTCAAAATTGGGAGTCATTGCAAAGCCTGCAAATATTTATGTGTGTTATTTTTAGATTTTTTTTATTTGTTACAAATTTTCAGGACTTTCAATCTTTTTTCACTTTGCCATTATGTCATTTTGAGGTGAAAATGAATTTAATCTATTTTGGAATAAGGCTGTAATGTGACAAAATTTAGAATAAGGGAAGTGCTGTGAATACTTTCTGGATGCATCGCAAACAAATACGTGACACTACTCACTTTCTACAAAAAGAAAGAAAATTTTTATAGTATCCTACATGTTGTTCCAGACACCTACATCCAGAAAGTTAAGAAGTCATATGTGGACAGCAGAGCTCGGAGGACCTTGAGCAGTGTTAACACAGAGCTGCAGGACATCCAGAGAATTATGGTTGGAAATATTGAGGAGGTCCTGCAGAGAGGAGAAGCTCTTTCTGGTAAGTACTAAAAAAGAACTGGATGATATTCAGAAAATAATGGTGGCAAATATTGATGAAGTCCTGCAGAGAGACCCTCTCTGTGGTAAGTGTAGCCAGTGTTGGTAACACATGCCGTCAAATGGGAGATTCTGCTCAAAATTACCAATCAGAACAAAATTAATGTTTCCTTCATCCTATTTGTTTCTCAGCTATCTGCACAAAAGCCAGCAATCTCTCCAACATGGCAGAAAAGTACCACAAGGATGCCAAATATCTCAACACTCGCTCCACCTATGCTAAGTTTGCAGCTGTGGCAGTGTTCTTTGTCACGCTCATCATCTACGTGCGTTTCTGGTGGCTCTGATGTACGTCCAGACAAGGATTTCGACACGAAGCTGGAGTTTCTCCTCGAAGAGCACTTAAACTCATGTTACAGTCTGTTATATACCAGGGTGCCTTGAAACAGTCTTAAAGACTGTTTCAGTCTTACGGACCTGTGTTGAATGTAGACGTTCTTTCTGTGATTTACTCAGTCGTGGGTTATACAATAGAAGCTGAGCTGTAAGTCTTTATTGGGATGTTTAATGGGCTTTTGTGTGATAGAAAGGCTTTTATATATAGTAAATGTGCATACTGGAAACATTAAAGGGGACCCATCAGGCTCATTTATGGTTTCATATTTATAGCTTCAGAGCAGTTTTGCGTGAGTCAAAGTTCAAATGAAGCTTCTTGATCTTACGCTGGGCCTCAATTAAATTTCATGCAAGCTTCACCTTTTTTAGCTGACTTTTTTCTCATTGGCTGCTGCTCATAAGCAGGTGAGTCTGTGCTCATAGGCAGAGCTGTGTGCCCGAGGTGACCAGATTAGAGATCTGCACTGTTATATATATATATATATACAAGAGAAAACAAGCATGATAGGTCGCCTTTAAGAGCAGAAAGAGTTCATGTTTCTATACACTGATGTTGGAGATTCTGTTAGCGTGTTAGCACTGATGAGAATCCATGTAAGCACGTGCAGGGGTTAGAGTCTTAAAACTGTGATCAAATGTGAATGTTTGTTTACAAAGTTTACACAAGCGTGAGAAAGTGTTATTAAAAATGTTAAATATTTATCAAGAAATCAATCTGCTTGACTTTTCTTTATATGACACAATTTATGTGAAAATCTTCAAGGCTTCAGCGCTGACGTGAAGTGAATAACACTGATTATCTCTTCATCGTGGCAGCTGTTAGTGGGTGGGGATATATTAGGGAGCTAGTGAACATTTTGTCCTCAAAGCTGGAAAAATGAGCAGGTGTGAGGTGTTCTCGGTGTGCAGTGGTCAGTATCTATCAAAAGTGATCCAAGGAAGGACCGGTGGTGAACCAGCGACAGGGTTACTGATGCACTTGTGGTCCAATCCAACAGATATGCTACTGTAGCTCAAATTACCCAAAAAGTTCATGCTGGTCCTGATAGAACCGTGTCAGAATACAAGGAGCATCACTTACCAGGGAACAACTGGCAGCATGATGCACAATGGGAGGAAGGCAAGCTGGTGGAGGCAGTGTGATGCTTTGGGCAATGCTCTGCTGGGAAACCTGTCATCCATGTGGATGTCACTTTGACACGTACTACCTTCTTAAGTAGAAGACCATGTGCACCCTTCATGGAAACAGCATTCCTTGATGGCTATGGCCTCTTTCAGCAGGATGATGCGCCCTGCCACAAAGCAGGAATTTGAGAAGCACAACAGTGAGTTTGAGGTGTTGATTTGGCCTCCAAATTACCCAGATATCAATCCAACTGTGTCAGCCAGTGTGGTTGTGTTGGTCACTCTGGTACGAACAACACGCCCGTGGTGATACTACGATCAGTTCGGGCAGGTTGTTCCATCTTCTTCACTCCCAATTCTGGAGGTAGTCTGATAAAACCCGGCTGTGCTTTTGTGATTAATTGTTGTGCTTGATTGGTTTCTCTCTCCTCTGTTTAATTTTAAACAAGTTTTTGACAGATTCATAAACTGTACTTTCTTATTTTTAGGTCAGGTCATCTAATAAATTTGTTAATCCCTCTTTAGACAAACCAAGCAGCTCGTGTTTACACAAACTCAGAGCGAACAAGAAAAACAGAAAAAGCGAGTCGGACCAGCGAGGCTGAGCTGCTTTTTATGATTACTTTTATGAAAATCACTGAGCTCTGACTGTAAATGAAGAAAGACAACAAAGACTGTTCATTTTGAAACTGTATATAAAAGATATACAGCCAGCCACTGTGGCATCACCCTCTGGTTTCCTGTTATTTAATTAGACTAAGTTGTAAGTTTGTGCCAACATAATATTAAGGCCTCGTTAATCGGTTGTAGAGACGTTTAAATATCCTCTTTTTATTGCAGAAAATGTTTTTGATTAATATGCCTCATTAATTCGTTTGAATTTATAAATAGTCTCATCTACTGTTTATTTACCTGCTGTGATAGCAACGTTGGTCTGTCACCTTCTGAGTCTGTATGTGTGCCAAAGTACTTAAAACTTCCTGATATACTTCCTGTTGCAGTAGCAGGATGTCATTAGTTATGAGTACTTTGGTATGTGTTTACAGTACTGTGCAAAACTCTCGAGACATTCCTCATTTGTATTTATTTTGCTTCCAAGGAACCAACTTTAACTTATATCTTTAGGCACTTTGTTACAGCTTCCTGTTGCAAAAAATATAATGAATAAATGAATCAGTGAAAAATATCAAAGATTGTCAAGACTGACAAACATAAAATAGTATTTTTGCACCAGCAAGGTGATTCCTAAAGAACAATTAGTTAGAAACTTGGCCTCAGCATGGTGCACTGTGTGTTCTTAAGAAATGTGAGGAAACTGTAGATAGATAGATAGATAGAGAGATAGAGAGATAGAATTTAAACAATAAAAACTAACAATAACTGGTGCACAGTGTAACTTTTTTCTCTTCTCCGCTGCTGGCTGATGGACCACCATCGGTACAGGTGATAAACCAGTTGTATCACATACTTTGCACACTGCCTCTGACTGACAGCAGAGCTCACTGCAGGCAGACGAGCCATCCCTCGATTTCCATCGGACAGTCAATACGCTCTCCCGGCTGGATAATAAACTCCCCTAGCCGACGGCAGATCCTCAACTTAAAACACCATGATTTTGCTGACACTCATCACTCGTGTGGCAGACGGACTTCCGCTCGCTGCGTCTGTACAGGAGGATGAACAGGTATGAATGAAGGCTGAGGACCCCAGTATGAAGATACCTGCACACCAAACTCCTCTTAGAAAAGGATTTGTTTCTTACACTTGGTGCTCTAGGGGATGATCCATGAGTTTATTGCAGCTTCAGCTCAAGTTGTAATTTATTGAGCAGCACTAGGTGTAAGATGTTTTACAAACAAGAAGCAACTGAAAGTTGAGATGAATATAAGATTTTCTGGTCCCAGAAAATCCTGCAAAAGTACTACCGTAATGTGATGGAATATGTGCTAATAACATGATGCGAAACTTAGGAGTCTATCTCTGCCTGTAACTGTGGGGATCATTTTATTACAAGAAATAATCAGATGCATTATTAACAAGGCTGGTTCAGATCACACCGTTACCTCTTTATAAAGTACCCCATTATCAGGTTTAATTATGCAAATAATCCAGATAGAGAGACTACCAGACTGTGATTTTCCAGTGAATGAGAGCAAATATTTTTGTAAATATTTTGTAATTTCACACAAAAAGCTTTAAAAGGAAAAGCATGAAAAAGAAATGTATCTCAATTTTCCTCCATACAGAGACATTTTGCAGGTTCCACGTGTGAACGACTTTCTCATCATTTTGAGAGCACTGGATGGCTCTGATGAGAATAATGTATACATGCTCTCATCAGATAGTGTATTATGTACATGTGTTCAACTGCTCATTAATGTAAATATCTAATCACCCAAACACATGACAGCAACTCAATGCACTCTATGCATTTAGACATGGTTAAGATGACAACCGAGCATCAGAATGAGGAAGGAAGGTGATTTAAGGGACTTTGAATGTTGAATGATTGTTGTTGTCAGACAGGCTGCTCTGAATATTGTAGGAACTGATTATTTGTTGGGATTTCCCCACACGGGAGAGGATTATAAAGAATGACCAGAGAAAGAGAAAATAGCCAGTGAGCAGTATAATGATCAGACTGGCTCAAGCTGACAGGGAAGGCGACAGAAACTCAAATGACAGTTTTTCAAATTCATCGTATGAAATAAAGCATCTCTGAATGCACAAAACATCATATCTTGAAGCAGACAGGATACAGGAGCAGAAGACCGCATTGGGTGCTGCTTCTGCCAGCTAAGAACAGGAAACTGAGGCTACAATTTACACAAAACTTTCCCAAAGTCATGCAACAGAAGATGAAAAATGTTGTCTGGTCTCATAAATCTTTGTTTCTGCAGCAACATTCAGATGGTAGGCTCAGAATTTAGCATAAAAAACATGCAGGCATAGATCTATCCTGCTTCATGTCAGTGGTTTATTCTACTGGTGGTGGTGTAATGTTGAGAATATTGGCACAGCTGAGCATCGCCTATCCCCTACCCAACCCTGTGGCTTGTCATGTCTGTCATAATATTGTGCTGTGGCCATTCATGTGCCTTTTTTTGTGCAGAGGAGTTTTTTTGTTTCCTGTTCTCGTGCTGTCCTACCATGGAAGCACAGCATGAGTGGAGGTCTCTTTTTTTCCTCTTGTACCCTCCCGTTGTTGTGTACATTTCAGTGTTCTTTTCTGTAACGCTACCGATCTCCGACTTGTAACCCCATGTGATGTCTGTGTTATGTGTGTAAGGTCGGGTCGGGGGTCCCATTTTCACTGCAGGGCAACCTGCTTGTGACAAATAAAGCTTGATTGATTCTGATTCGTTTAAACACCACCTGAGCATTGTTGCTAACTGCATCCACCCTTTTATTGGCACATTTACTGATGGCTGTTTCCAGCAGGATAACACACCATGTCCCCCAGCTCATTTCATATCAAACTGGTTTCTTGAACATGACATCAGATATTAATCCAATAGAGCAGCTTTGGGATGTGATGCAACAGAAGAGTCACATAATGGTTGAGCAACCAACTGAGTTGCTGTCATGTCAACTTGGACCAAAATCTCTGAGGACAGTTTCCGGCACCTTTTGACGTTGCACCATAACGAATTAAAACAGTTTGAAAGGTAAAAGGATCCAACATGGTACTAGCAAGGTGTATAATAAAGTTTCTGAGTTTGTAGGCATTGCTTCTTGAATTTTATACTGTTTACACTGTGTGGGTACTTGGTGATGAATGCATAAATGACTAATCATTTTAACTTTAAGTGAGATAAGAATGAGCTCAAATCTGTTTTTATCTGTCTTTGTCAGTCAGAAAGGGACCTCCTGCTGTACCAGAGCCAGGCCAAGCAGCTGTGCCGGAAACTGGACGCTCAGAGTCCAGAACGTTGTACCCTTGATACCGGGGACAAGAACTTTCAGTAAGATCACACATTTTGTTGATAATTTTGGTGAGGTTTAACTTGAGTCAAATATAACTAATGGTTAGACCTCGTTTCAGTTTTTTAATATCCCAGGGTGTGTGTTACATTATCCTCTGCGAGGCTTCTTTTCCCAAAACGATGGCTTTTGAATACCTCGAAGACCTCAGCAAAGAGTTTTATGTCCAGTATGGAAAAAAAGTACCCACAGTATCCAGGCCCTACTCTTTCATAGAGTTTGGTAAGACTGAAGTCCAACATCTTTTATCACACAGAGACATGGCACTAATCCCTGTAAACAAATAAAATGAACATTTTTATAGCATCTTACATCTTGTTCCAGACACATATATTCAAAAAGTGAAGAAGCCATCTGTGTCGATCAAACTCCGGAAGACCTTGGCAAGTACTAAAAAAGAGCTGGAAGATATTCAGAAAATAATGGCGGAAAATATTGCTGAAGTCATGCAGAGAGACCCTCTCTGTGGTAAGTGTAGCAGGCGTTGGTAACACATCCCATCAAATGGGAGGTGCTGATTCTATTCAGAATTATGTAGACAATTTGTTATTATTCCAATTTACAAATTACAATGTACACGTAGTCAGAGATGTTCAGTTCATCCCAATGTTTTGATTTTATCCCCTCAGATATTGCCAAAAAAGTCAGCAACCTGAGCAGCTTTTCAAAAAGTTGCCGCAGCAATGCCAAAGATGTCAACACCTCCCCCGGCTATGCTAAGGCTGTAGCTGTGGCTGTGTTCATCACGCTCATCATCTACATGCGTTTCTGGTGGCTCTGATAGACGCTGCGACAAGGACGTCTCCTCGTCCGGCACCTAAACTAATCATACATTGTGTGCCATATACAGCCCGCTTTGGTGTGAAGTGAGCCAGACCAGTGATAAACATATAAAGTTACAGAATAGTTTCCTTTTTAGCCAACTTGCTTCACATTGGCTTTCCCTCATAAACAGGTTGGTGGAGCTTCTGGCAGCGTTTCAGCACTGATGGAGAGTCCATGTAAGCATGTCCAGATGTTAGAGTCTTAAAACTGTGATGTTTGTAATTAAAGTTTAAACAAGTGTGAGAAAGTGTTATTAAAAATGTTGAATATTTACCAAGAAATCAATCTGTTTGAGTTTTATATATGACAGTTTATGTGAACATCATGAAGGTTGCAGGCCCTTTCTATATACACACAGAGGGTAAAATAAGTATTGAACACCTCACTAATTTTCTAAGTAAATATATTTCTAACGGATCTATTGCTATGAAATTCTCACCATGTGTTGTTCACAGTTTCCCCACACAGGAAGCATCTTGAAGCTGTAATCACCAACGAAGGCTTTTGTACAAAGCATTCAATTATTTTCAGTATGTACAATGCTTTCCCCCTCTATCATTCCCATTACTACACATAATTTATGACCATCTGTGGTTTGTTCTTGTGTGGATTGGACAGGTTTTTACTGACATATGGTGGGAATTTCATGTCAGTAGCACCTTTAGAAATGTATTTACTTAGAAAATTGGCGACATGTTCAACACTTATTTTACACACTGTTTATACAGTGGTGTGGAAAAGTCTTTTATTCCATTCCTGGTTTTCTTTTTTGTATGTTTGTCATACTGAAATGTTTCAGATTGTCAAACAAATTTAAGTGTTAAACAAAGATAACACAAGCAAACACAACATGCAGTTTCTAAATGAAGGTGGGGGGATTACCCTAACAGCACAGCGACAACTCATACAAGAGATTACAAAAGACCACAAGAGACAGAACGACATCCAAAGAACTGCAGGCCTCACTTGTCTGAGTTCATAACTCAAACATAAGAAAGAGACTGAGCAAAAATGGCATCCATGGCACAGTTGCAAGACGAAAACGAAGAACAGGAAACCAAACGAAAAGAAGCATCATGCCAACATTAAAATATGGCAGTAGTTGTGTGATGGTCTGCAGATTTTTTGCTGCCTCAGGACTGGAAGACTTGCTGTGATAAATGGAACCATGACTTCTGTCTACCAAAACATCCTGAAGGAGAATATCCAGCCATGTGTCCGTGACCTCAAGCTGAAGCACACTTGGGTTCTACAAGAGGACAATGATCCAAAACACACCAGTAAGTCCGCCTCTGAAAAACAAAATGAAGACTTTGGAGTGGCCCAGTCAGAGTCCTGACCTGAATCCGATTTTAAGATCATGAGTGGATGACCTTAAAAAGGCAGTTCATGGTGGAAAACCCTCCAGTGTGTCTGAGTTAGAACAATTCTGCAAGGATAAGTGGGCCAAAATTCCCCCACAGCGACGTGAAAGACTCATTGCAGTTGTTGCTTCTATGGCTGAGCCAACCAGTTATCAGGTTTAGGGGGCAATCACTTTTCACACAGGGCCATGTAGGTTTGGATTTTTTTCCACTTCACACTAAACATTTAGGAACTGCACTTTGTGCTTACTTGTGTTATCTTTGTCTGATATTTACATTTGTTTGATACAAAACCCCCCACAGAATATCAGGAAGAGTACTGGTGATTCCCAAAATCATCTTTGATATGTTTGTTGTAACTTTTTATCCACCAGTATGCATAAGTGCATAAATATAACTCAACACATTTTCCAGTTCAATTTTACAAATAAAAATCAGAAAAAAATAGACGAGCACTTTATTTTGTGATAAAGATGTCAAATTACAGTTAATTACTTGCATTCCTGAACAAAAAAATTCTGTTTTGAATGTTTGAGTGCATTTGCCTAATAAAGAAAAATGTTTTGTTTGTCGTACTAAAAAGGTTTTTGTCAAATTTCTAAAATATTTGTAATTTGTTTTAGTACAAAGGGTCTAATAAATTTGTTAATCCCTGTATAGACAAACCAAGGAGCTCGTGTTTACACAAACACAGAACAAATAAGAAAAACAAAAAAGCGAGTCAGACCAGAGGCTAAGCTGCTCTTTATGATCCCCAAATGAACAAAGACGACAAAGGCTTACTGCTGTATTAAAGACGTGTG